GGGGGAGGGGGGGGTTAGTGTAGGGGGAAGACGATAGCCGGGGCTGGGCGGTGGGTCCCAGCACGGCGCTGTCTCGCGCCAATGCAGATTTGTCCCCGCCCCCTATGTAAATACACCCTCAGCTGCGCTGCCCCCGCCCCCTATGCAAGTAGGCGGTGGGAGGGGCGGGGCGTGCCCCCAGGGTTCCGCCCCCCTGGCCCCACATGGCCGGGGCTCTCCCGTGGGCCGGGCCCCGCCCCTGCTGGCACTGAGGCACGGCTGTCCGTCTGTCCTGGGTATCAGGGTCCCGGCTGTCTGTCTGTCCAGGGTGTCAGTCTGACTTGCCTCTGTGGGTCCTGGGGGTGTTCCATTTGCCCCACAGGCAGGTGGGTGCCAGGTGTCTGTCCTGGACCTGGGGGTGCGGGGTGTCTGTCTGTCCTGGGTATCAGGGTCCCAGCTGTCTATCTGTCCAGGGTGTCTGCCTGACCTGCTGCTGTGGCTCCTGGGAGTGTCCCATTTGCCATGGGCAGGTGGGTGCCAGGTGTCCGTCCATCCTGGCCACGCAGGTCCTTGCCCAGCCCGCCCCTTGCTGCTGCCCATCCAGGCTGCCAGGGAGACGCCGGCGCCAGCAGCTGCATCCTGGGGCTTTGCATGCTGGCACCTGACCCTGGGGAGGGGCCGAGCTGTGCCTGGCCGGCAGCCGGGCAGGTGCCACGGGCCGGCAGGAGGAGAAGGAGGAGGAGGGAGCTGGGAAGGCTCCAGCACTGGCAACACCGACGGCTGGTTGCATCAGGCACCAAGAGGCCCCGATGGCCGCTGGCCCTGGGTGCTGTCCACCACTCTGCCGCAGCCTCGGCCCCGTCCTACCAGGCTGCAGTGCCTTGGGCAGCCCCGGGGAGCCGGTACCGGGTGGTGGGGCTCAGCCCAGCCTGCGCCGGCTTGGCCGTCGCGGTGCCGCTGCCTGTTGTCACAAGATGGCGGCAGGAGGTGTTGGGGTGGGGCAGGAGGCGTCGGGATGGGGCGGATGGGGGCGAGGGACAGGCAGGCGGCCCGGGGAGAATGGCGGGGCGCGGGGAGCCGGTGCCGGGGAGCGGGGACGGAAGGCGGGCGGCGGAGGCCCAAGGGCCGCACAATGGCGGGGCGGCTCAGTCCGCAAGATGGCGGCGGCGGGGAGGGGCCGTCCTCGCTACCCGCGGAAAACGCAGTGCGCATGCGCGTCCCGCGGCGCCAAAAGGCGCCTGCGCCCACCGTCCCGCGCCTAGCGCCGCCGGGCCGCGCGGGAGGTTCCATGAGGCCGCGCCGGGGGGAGAGCGGCGGGGGACGCCGGTTCGCACCCGCTCCGCCGCGCCCTGGAAGGAAGGCCGGAGGGCCTGACCGCTCTCTCGGTCCCGTTGACGCCCGGTTGACGCCGGGGGACGGGAAGCAGCCGCAGGACGAAAGGCCGCGCTCGGCGTTACGTAACGCACTTCCCCCACCCGCCGGCAGTGGTTCCGCCGCCCCGCCCCCGCGGCGCTTTCGGCGCTCGCCATTGGCAGTGTGAGGCGGCAGGGCGGGGCGAAGAGGATATAAATAGAGGCGGGGCGGCGGGCGCCCCACTTAGTCCGCCGCGGCCGTTCAAGCGTTCTGTGTTCTCTCGCTGCTCTCCGGCTCGCCGCCGCTCACTCCTCCGCCGCCGCCATGAACGGCCAACTTAACGGCTTCCACGAGGTGTTCATCGAGGAGGGCACCTTCCTCTTCACTTCCGAGTCCGTGGGCGAGGGGCACCCAGGTGCGGGC